GGAAAAACATGAAAATCGTCACGTGTGCGGTGTTGGAGTTCTTATCGAGCAGTCAGCTGAACAGATGGAAGCGTACTATTGCAGACAGAGTTAGTTGGGCACGTAAAACTGGGATCGAAATGGGTTTCTATTCAGGACAATGGCATGTTTTCTGCTTTTTTCACTATTGACTTAGTCAGCACTTTATCATCTAGATGCAAACCCTAATCCACTATTTGCGATGGCAAATGATCGCGGGCTTTCCCTCTGAGACTATTTGGACCATATTGCTCTTCTCCTTTGATAAAAATATTTTTGAATATCGAGATGTTACGATATTATTAAAGAAGCGTTCTCTGTATGGCGTGCCTACGTGGAGGTGGCACGAACCGCAAACCAATATTCTCAGAACTAGGGCGAAACCAAGGAACCTTGAGGTGTCAAAGAGATTGTGCGACAACTATGCACTGAGCTGGTATAAGACAATACAGGGTGGCGAATAATTACGTGCGCGTGACATTTGACTTCGTTTTAATTATTGTATAAAGCATTTATGCATACTTTTTCTTTTTTATTTTATTCATTTGTTGCTTATTATTGGTTTATAGGGAGAAAAAATTGTTTTCCAGACTATGACGAAGGCCTGCCCAAGTCGTGATGCGATTGCACAGTTAGCAAAAAGGGATGAAGAACTCAGCAATTTCTTCGAGGCTCGGAATTCCTCTAAGAACCGTCCAGAAGATTGTAAAGCAATGGAAAGTGGAAGGACACGTTCAAATCAAACCCAGAAGTGGAAGAAAACGGACTGTCAACACCCGACAGATGCGTGGGATTATTAAGAAAAGGATTGACCGAAAAGATGATCTGAGTTTGAACAAGATGGCCAAACAGCTCAATATTTCTCGCAAATCTGTTCAAATGATTGTAAAAAATGAGCTAGGACTTCGAAGTTATCGTCTGTTTAATGGACAAGTTCTTACCGATCAAGCAAAGCAAAATCGGAAGGAAAAATGCAAGAAATTGCGAGAATTTTTCAAAGTGCGCCGAAAAAGACACAAAAAAGACAAAAGTTTTCACTGTTGAAGTGGCTAAAAACTCTCAGAATCATCGTCAACTCCTTAACCCAGCTCTCAAGAACGATCGCAAGCGAAAAATTGCCACAAGAAGTCTGTTCCCTGCAAGTTTAATGGTTTGGGGCGGCATCAGTGCCTCAGGCAAGACTCCTTTGATTTTTATCGATAAAAACGTGAAAATTAATGCACAAGTCTACCAAGAAGAGATTCTCAAGAAAGCTGTGGTGCCCTGGAAGCAAGAACATCCCAATATTATCTTCCAACAAGACTGGGCACCAGCCCATGGAGCCAAAACAACGATTCACTTCCTGGAGACCAAAATCGGCTCGTTTTTGACAAAGGATTTGTGGCCTGCGAACAGTCCGGATCTGAATCCATTGGACTTTTGAGGATTTATGGAAGAGCAACTTAGGAGTCGAAATGTAACAAATCTGGTGACTTTGCGAAGAGAATTGATCAAAATTTGGAACAATCTAGACGTTAACTACCTGCGCCGCACCATCGATTCCATGAAGAAACGAATTAACGCTTGTATCAATGCTGATGGCGGCCACTTCGAAAATTCTTTGTAATTATAGAATGTTATCGCCCATTGTTATATAAAAATAAATTTCTTTAAAAATTTGTTGGCAAAAAATAAAATTTGAACGCTTTTTATGGCGCACGTAATTATTCGCCGCCCTGTAGTAGAGAGGCGGGTTAGTGCAAGTATGATAAGAACGACTGCTGATGCACTGATGCAAACGGCTGTTGGTGCACTGACGCAAACCACGTTGCGAAAGCTAAAGCTAGGCTCACTAATGCAAGATTGTTTGAGTTATCAACTCTACACCCATTATCCGAAGACTCCTGAAGTTCACGATCTATAATATAGCACGTACGATACTGGAAATCCATTTCAGCTTCACCGTGCGATTCGACCAGTGCAAAGAAGTGTTGGCCAGTGGTATTGTCATCGAATTAATTCGCGATCAAAACGTGGACGCTATCATTGGACCGACATGCAGTTTCCGTAGGTTTCCACTGTAGAATGCCTATGTAGCAATCTGACAGGGAACAGCGCAAGCTAACCGAACACGGGATGGCTTGACAAATCATCTATGCGCATATCGTTTCTCGTGAATGAATAAGAACATAATCGATCCGTATATTTCTACCCTGACTTCTCACAGTATCGAGATTGTGACCTGAGGATTTTCAGAGGCGAGCTTAGTAATATATGCAGTTTTGGTTTGTTTAAGGTGAACTGTACACTCAAGTGGATTTCAACTGTGCCTCTTTTTCCTTTGTACGAGGCGATGAAATTTAATGCTGCAATAGCGTGCCATTTTTCGTTTTGAACCACACGGGAACGGGGCTAAAACCTAGCGATACCGGGTGCCTGGAGGACTCTGCTGCACAGCCAGCCACAGGTCTATCCATGGCCAAACGCACTAATTGTCTCCGCTCTCTAGTTTTGTTGTTCTCCAAGTAGACCGGGTGGTCTGTGTGGGATTTTGGTATCGACGCAGGTAGTGCACCTTTAGGATAGCACGGGCGGCGTTGGAAAACAGCACCGGGGTAGCAGTTCGCTCCAGCACCGTTCTCGTGCACTTTTAACCAAAGAAAGGTGTGCGCTACTGTACTGCGTACTGCTCACCTCGCACATGGGAAGGATCGTCTCTGGGGTCTAGTGTACAGTCTCTCCAAACTATTTCCCTACCTCTCCATTTTGCTCTCCAAGTGAGGCCCAAATGGCCAACCGAAGAAGAAGCGCTCTGTATGTTAGCAAGTCGGATCGCCGGACATTTTTCCTGAGAAAATTTTGAGAATAGCTATGCTTTGTTGTTCTGTTCTCACCTTAGTGTATCTTCCACTCCTCGCCTTGCAATGTTGACGGACCCGTGTGAGTAAACAATAATGAAATTGAAGGTCAGTATTCAGTTAACGCTGAAATATCCACTTAGGCTCTCGTACAGAGTGTTTTACGATTCCCTGCACGATCCCTCAGCAATGTGTTGCATAGGGGCTTTTTAGTACACCGCGCGAATATCGACATTTCTCAACGATAGTTCGTAGGCCGCGATACTTCAGATTTTCAGGCCACCACCCCTTTTGTGATGTATTCCGTTATCCGTTCTGATCCTCTCTTGACCAGTAAATTCGACAGATATCAAAATGGATGAAATTTGTCCTCTCGAACGCTTCAGCACAAACTGAAGGCTATTTTGAGATAGTGGTGAATCATGTGGTGAATCATCTAGCGGTATCCCATGCCCCTACGACATCAATTGAATAATGCTTCAGCACAGCCTGGGCAAGATCCTCCTCCCAGGCTGTACTGAAGCATTATTCAACTGATATCGCTTTGTAACGTGGTATTGTAGGAGCTCGCGCGTCAACATCTGTTGATTCGATTCACCTGCCCACCCTTTTGGTTGTTCTTGAATGGAGGCGCGAAATTCGTTTTTAGCCCCGTTGGTAGACTAATATCTGCCGCCTTGTACCGATCCATTCCCTTTCGTCACTCTTTTCTCGCTTTTTAGACCGTTGGGGGCCCGAATCGCGAGTTTTGAAATTGGTGCCTTTGGTGAAGGGATCGCACCGCCCACTGTAGTCGGACCTTATTTTTTACTTGTTTGTGTCCGTACATCTTGTCCCATGCACTACTCGTCCAAGCATTGGAACGGTCCTTGACGGCAGGTAAGTTTCAGGCATTACCAGATTTCTAGAATAACAGACAGACCAAGCCGTGAACAGGGATATAAGATTTTCTTTCTCTCTTTTCTTTCCTTTCTTCTTTTTCAACTCAGTAAGTGCGAAGCTCTATTACCCATATGAAGCCACAAATCCTGTATCTCTAATTCTCCTTCTTCTTCAGCGTTTGTATCCTGTATCTCTAATGCTCCTTCTTCTTCAGCGTTTCTACTTTTCGGGTCCTCACTGGGATCAAGCATACGTCTCGCAGTCCGCGGCCCCGCTCGGAAGGGGAGGGTCGTATTTGCACAGGCCAGTACTCATCACAGCAACAACGTATCTTGCGGAATGGATGATGCGTCAGTTGGTACCAAGTCTCATTTACCACTTGGAAAGAAGGTGTTCCGAAATCCTATCGAGTCTTCTAGATAGAAATATGGGATTTGTAGCTGGAGATCCTCATAGTGCAGCTTACGCGACTTTCAAATCCGCGTCGGGTGAATTTTGCTGTAGTTGAGCTACAGCAAAGATGTGATGGTCGGTAGAAAGAGAAAACTTTGAGTTCAAAAGGTCATAGAAAGGACCCCTTCTTCTTATGTCTGAAAAGTTATGGCTTTTGGAACGTGCAAGTTCGCGCGTCGAAAAGCTTCCGAGTTAATTTTGTCGTTATCCGCGACGGGAGAATTTTGGCTATGTCAGCTACAGCAAAGCTGTTCTGGTCGTTAGAAATACCTTCCAATTTCCAATGCTAGGTTATGTTTGAAGGGAGTGATACCCATCAGAAGGTAAAAAAAACTTGCGCCAGTCGAAAATTTTCCGCATTATTTTCTGACTGGAAGCCGTCATGCAAGCTTGATGAAATTTGTAATGCAACTCGTGTCTGCCCATACATGAATCGTCCTTACGGCGCTGGGGAAGACCTTTCTGAGTGGAGTCATACCCTTTTAGGCACCGTTCAGACTGCCACCAGCGCGTTGTACGCGATCGATGCAGTTGGAAGCATGCGTATCGCACTGAACGTGCGACTGAAGCGCTGCCGTCGCGGAGTCTGAACGGTGCCTTAACACGTTCGCGGCGGCGCCGTTTCGCCAAAAACTTCCGTTTGTCGAGCGGCGCGTTCGCGGCAGGCGACACTTAGCCAGTCGTTCCGTTTATGGTTCAGCGCGCTCGGAGAGGATACAACTCCGCCAAAACACATCTTGATATTACTTCTAAATTGCTCGCATTATTATTTGTATTCAACTGTCAGCGAAAAGAAGGAAAAAATCATATTAAAAACAAGCGAAGGGGCGCGTTTACTTCTGGAAATAAAAGATTTGCCTGAAGAGAAAAGTTTTAGCGGGTTTTTTCTGCAGTACACGCCTCTTTGAGTATGTTAATATAATTCCCCTATAGTCTGTTTTATTATATGTATAGGACTACGATTGTTCATACACGATTCGCTTGGAGAAAATTTGAGTATTTCCCGGGAACACATGCCTTTTTTGATATGTGCCGAATACATATTTCTTTATTGTTTGTTTGATTATTTGTATCCAATCCTTCGTGAAAAATGAAAAGAAAGTACCAAAAACGACCAATACGCGCGTGTACTCCCGGGAGTACACGATTCGCCGAAAGCGGAGTTTTTTCGTGTACTCCCGGGAGTACACGTCGCCTCGAATGTGTTAAGGATGCATCGGGACAATAGCCCTCCAATTTCAAGCCACGGAACTTCATTTCAAGCCGAATTTCAAGCTGCGGACTCAGCCGCGGAACGCTCCAAGACAAAGTCACTGCAGGGTGCCCTCAGGGTACAGCATCGTTCTGTGGAACATATAGGAGGGATCGTACTCTTCCGCTGGGAAGGGGGGGGTCGTATTTGGTCGTTGGGGGAGGGGGAATCCTATGGGCCTTTAAGAGCAATTCGCTTAGTTTTTCCTGATTGTTGACCTTTCGCATGATCCTTCCTGTTTCATGTATACTATATATCCTTCCGCTCGACGGAAAATCTTTGGGTGGAAAAACTGGAACATGTGGGACATTGGTAGGTAAGTGTACGGGAAGGGAGCTTATACCGAGACCCCCATTCAGGTAAGACGGTCGTGCTCACACCCTCTTTCGGAGGGAGGGGTCGTACCTACACCACCTCCGTTTCACACATCACGATGCTGTTCCCTTCGTGCCATTCCCCCCCCCCCCAATTTCCCGTGACGTGACCTGGTCCTCACTCCCTATGATGACGCGACTTCTCCCAATTGAATGCCAGGTCGGAGTGAATGAAACTTCAAGTCTGTATGCGAGTGTCAGGCCAGCACTCTGTGACGCCCTTTTGACTGCTTTGCGAGAATACTGAACTTAAGACCAGTTTTACGGACGTGTCTGCATTCGCGCGAAGTATATGACCGTGCCACGGAGAGCATGTTCCTCGCGTTTTGTCGGTTGTAGGAGTTATACCGAACTACTTGCATGCGACATCGTTATATGCGGTCCAATCGAGTGGCGACCGTCGTCCAACATAAACTTCTCATTTCACCGCACAGAGGCCATCATCAATTTTTTGATTGCGAGCTAGCACTTAGAATCACATAGCAGTCAAACGAGGTTGAGTCCTAGTCCTGTAGATCTTCGACTTCGAGCACTTTCGCATTTCCGTATCGCAGAGCATCATGGACTTGTTTCGCCGTTTTGAGAACTCACATGCGCGCTCTCTTTCCGAATTCAGACCAGCATCAAACGTGATTTCTGATTCAGATACTTGGATGTTTTTGTAGGTGTGGGCTCACACCATCAATTTAAATGGAGCCTGGCTCATTTGGGTAGCTTGTCAAAAGCGCATCGACTCCGGTGCACTTGCAGGGTAAAAGCGTCTGGACGCAGTAGCATTATTACGGAATGATGTGACATGTGTGTTCGTAGCCCAAAGATAACAAAGACCTATGTCGTGCAATCGAGTGTCCGCGTTCATCGCAAAAACAAGCAGTTACCAGTGGCACTTCGTGGGGCACCTCACCACCCCTCTGTCCACTTCATTCTCCCCATCCAGTGTCTCAAACCAGCTTTTTCGTTTACTCAGCAGTATTGCGTCTTTCGAGGATTCGAGGGTGGAGAAATTTATTCACCGGCCTCACGTTTTAACGTAATCGCCCTATTCAGAGACCTCCATCAAGCCAGTAAATGAGCTGTTCCACTAGAAAACCTTGAAATGCTCAAAAATACATACCGAGTGAACAAAAAAGTAACATGCTGAGTTCGTAAGAAGAGAGTCACTAGTCAATAATTCTGACCAATCTTTTAGCTGCGGCAACTGCTGGTGTAATTTCTGGATTCTACAATATTCCCATTCTCGTGTGGGGATTAAGCACGTCTTCCGCCTTGAGCGATCAGACCCGATTTCCAACGACAGCAGTGATGTCTGTGAATGCCTACAGGTGACTTCTTAAAAATTTCCTGTGTTCTTTGTTAAATTTGTTACTCTCAAACTTGCCGGCAGTGACTCCACTTTGACTTCTGTCGGACAATACGAAACGTTTTAAAATGTCTGTCTCGCGAATGCAAACCTTGCCTTATTTTGCCATTACAGAGCGTGGCTCTCCAAAGAAAGCGTATATGCACAACCAAGACACCAGGCACTAATAAGGATGACACAGTGCATTGCTGAATGTCAGCTATTTAATTTTGCAGACATCTACATAGGCTGTTGATCAGAATTGGGCTGACCTTTTTTTTGCTGCGAAAAGGCCCGCGATCGCCTATGAACGCTTCGAACTGTTCAGTGTACCCTGATGTTACTCTGGAATGATCTTTGGACAAGCACAACCAGCGCTGCGACGGCTGATTTGTTTCTTGTAAGCTCACAGTATCTAGAAATGGAGTAGAAGAATTCAGGTAATTGGGCCTTATATCTAGAAACGTTGTAAGTATTGTCCCACGGGGCATTTGGTTGGCCCATTTCTGTGATCCTGCCCAAGATCTAGCCAGCCGTCATCTCTCTACTTCACTTTCGCTTAAACGTTACTGAACAGTATGATCACCAGCATCAGAAAAACTCAAAAGGGCAAAAAATTAAATCCCGCTTCATTATAAATGATTCTCGCATCAAGTTAAGTACACCGCTATATTGATGGAAACCGGTATCGTGAGAGAAGCCCACATGATTCCCCAACCCTGCAAATTTTTACAGTGACCTACAAAAGTGAGACGCTCCGTCAAAGATGCGGTTCTATACCGACGTCGTCAAATGTGACGTTCATGCTGTTGCAGAAACAGAAATTGTAATACATCTTGTAAAGCTCAGGTCCCCCCCCCCCAAAATCAGCAGGTGCGATAAACGAATAAGGGAATATTGGGTTACTACGCCTACCTGGGAATCCCAACAAAGTTCTCTCTCAACTCCCTGCGAGGAATTACACGCTAGTCACCAGTCGCGAACATCCGCACGTCCATTTGAAAACGTCATTCGTAGGCATACCGCATAGATTCTGTAGGATCTTTCTGCAGGTGTTACCCACACTCCTGAGTATCAGACCTTTAACTGGATTCAGGCTCATTTTCCATCTAATTCCTCAGTATTTAACGGATCTTCTGAGATAATGAATCATAGGTGTGTCCATATTTTTCTGTGGGACTTTTTTGACATAGTTGCGAAGTTTTTCTCACTTGGTAATGGTGTTTACGTACACTTCTCACTGACCGCAAATTTCCGAATACGATCTCTGATCATCAGCCATACTCTTGTTGATGAGGCCCGCTACTCCACGTAGTGCCACTGGTAAGCGCTCGCTTTTGCGAGCTGAGGTGACATTCCTGAGTTGTCCTACGAACACCCATGTCACATCACACATATTTAACAGCGGTATGTAACAGCAACACCGACGAGGAATACGAACAGGCTTGTCGCACATCTTCACGACTGCGCCAAGAAGTCAGAGAGTTCCAAGATTACCAAGAAGCGTCTATCTCTGGAAACTCTCGAGCTGATTCGCCAACGTGGAGCCGCACGAGCCGCAGGCAATTACCAGCTGACGTCTGAGCTTGCGAAGCTATGCAGAGAAGCGATAAAGGAAGACCTCAAGGAGAGAAGAGCAGCAGTACTGGTGGAAGCCGCAGAGGCTGGGAAGAGCATACGCAACGCCCGCCGCGACTTCGCCAACTGTAAGACCAAGATGACCGCCCTCCGACGTCCGGATGGAACAATCACCGCATCCAGAAGGGCAATGGAGAAGGTCATCCACGACTACTCGGATCTCTTTGACAGCCACGTCCACCTGCCACCATACCGCTTGGAGCAGGATGGATATGTCGTTCCTGCAGTTCTCCCTTCCGAAGTCCGACACGCCATCTCGTCGGTGAAGAATCGTACGGCACCCGGTCCCGACAGCCCGAACATCTGAAGAATCTTCCGCCAGTTCTCGTCAAAACTCTGGCTCGACTCTTCACGCGCTACCTGTCGGAATGCAAGGTACCCACCTCGTGGAAAACCAGCAAGACTGTGTTGCTGTACAAGAAGGGGACATTGGCAATTATCGCCCAATCTGCCTGCTGTCTGTAGTCTACAAACTCTTCACACGAGTCATCCTGAACAGGATTGGCAGAACACTAGACGAAGGACAGCCATGCGAGCAAGCAGGGTTTCGAAGAGGATTCAGCACGATCGATCACATCCACACGGTAACGAAGCTCATCGAGAGTACAAGATGCCGCTATGTCTCACGTTCATCGACTTGAAGAAAGCCTTCGACTCCGTTGAGACAGAAGCGGTTATCGAAGCCCTGGGCAACCAGGGTATTCCTACTCAGTACATCAGGATTCTTCGTGAGCTCTACAGCAACTTCACGACCAAGATCTCACCATTCTACAAGGAGATCATCATTGATGTGAAGAGAGGGGTCCGACAGGGCGACACCATCTCGCCCAAGCTCTTCAGCGCCTCTCTCGAGAACGTCATGCGTCAACTGGAATGGGAAGACATGAAGATCGACGGTCGGCAACTACACCATCTCCGCTTTGCTGACGACATCGTTTTGATAACACCAAACATCGAGCAAGCGGAACGAATGCTGGCTGAATTCGACTGCGCGTGTGGAAGAATCGGTCTACGGCTGAATCTAACGAAGACGATGTTCATGAGAATTGGTATCTGATGCCCCATTCACGCTCAACGGAACGACCATCTCTGAATGCTCTAGCTATGTGTACCTAGGTCGTGAAATCAATATGATGAATGACCTAGCTCCAGAGCTGAGCAGGAGGAAGCGAGCGGCTTGGGGAGCCTTCAAGAACATCGAGGGAGTAGCGAAGAAGACGAAGAACACCAAGCTCCGTGCCCACCTCTTCGATTCCGCGGTCCTTCCTGCCTTGACGTACGCCTCAGAGACTTGGACTCTACGAGAGCAGGCGTTATTCAACGCGCCATCGAAAGGGCGATGCTCGGAGTTTCCCGCTACACGCAAGTGAGAGAGGGAATCCGGAGCTCCGCACTCCGCCAACGATCGAAGATCAGAGACGCCGCCGCATTTGCCAAGGTTTCGAAGATCAGGTGGGCCGGACACGTCATGCGTTTCGAGGACGACCGCTGGACCAGAGCAATCACCGACTGGATTCCACGGGATGTCAAGCGAACGCCTGGACGACCGCCTATGCGATGGTCAGACTTCTTCGTGAAAGCTCTGAACGAATGGTATGAAGTTCATCGTGTCCCTCGAGCAGAGAGAGTTCATTGGGCAACTCTTGCACGTTGCAGGGACGAATGGAGACGTTACTGGCGCCCGCTCGAGGAACTCGATGATCAACGGGAGCACAGGTGATACACAGGTAATACAGGTGAGTTATAGCGTCTCGAAAGTCAAAAGAAAAAGGTCTTTTTTTGCCCCCCCCCCTTCCCCCTGTACAAGTTTTTTAGCGAATTTGGTGACGGCACTTTTAAATGAGCTCGGGGCCAGAATTGCGTGGAGTCCGAGTGGCATTAGCCCTCGTCTTGCCATGCTGAATGTTAGGACGATGATTGGATGCTCGTATGAGTTGGCAGGATCACTAGAGCGCAGAAAGGTGACCATAGTGCCGTGCAAAAGAAGACGTGGGCCGCTTGCAAGTCGAAAAGAAGGTCGTGGCTCTAAAGCCGTACTTTGGGGAAGGCCGAAAACTAGAAGTATTGGCCGTAATTCAGTTCCAGCGGGTCCGTCGACCATGACACTTCTTACTGCATAAGCCCTCTAAATGAACTGCTCTAAGCTTCGGGCGGGTTCTGGGCTACGGTAGGTGAGAAAATGACTGAAGTGTCACTAGAAGACCGTTGGCGACCTAAAGGGACACGTAGGTGCCGCAAAAGACGGCAATGGTCGTCACGGTAGATTACATATACAAGAATGCCGACGTTGAGAAAGGCGTCATAAACAGGCATAAGCTCGTCACCCTATATACAAAGTTCCCCAAACTGATTACGTCTCATCACGTTTCGCAGGCGGAGTACCAAGTCACAAGTGGACTTATCTCATCAGGCCAGGCTATAAGGACCCCCAGGGGAGGGGGTTGCTACGCAGCACGGCCCACTGATCTGCATGCTGAAATTAGCTCTCACAAGGGAGGTCGTTCAGGGCGTGGTGCGCTTTTCGAAAACGGTTTTTGCATATTGTAGGGGCTCATGCAAGGACCTGAAAAGTGTGCTTCATTTTCGCTGCGCGCTTCCAGGAACGGTAAAAAACGAGTGAAAAGAAATCTTTGGAATCTGCTTCGTTCTGGGCCTCTATACGGCGTAGGTCACTTGCAACTTTGACCAGTTGCTGAGTGGGGGGTCCTTATAAAGGGGCTATTTGAATCGAAGCGAAAAATCGCCGCAAGTGAGCTTCCAACTTGGGTCATGTGCTCAAGGGTGAACGGCTTCTTGCAATGGTTTCATCAACGATAAGAGCGCTAGCAGTCCGAGCATCGGATGGCCTAGCGGATAGAGTGAAGGTTTCGCAATCGGACAGTGAGGGTGGGCTCCCCTTGCGTCGTGGCTTTTTGCATTTTTTAGATTTCGCTGTTCTCGCTTCCATTTCTGTCTGCGCATGAATATAACTCGGATATTTGCCATTTATGGGCACATTCTGAGTAGCTGTACCTCAAGTCAGTGCTATTCAACTATTTCGATTCTTCACGCACCATTGAACAAGATTGTTGCTGGACGTTGATCCTCATAGGCTATACAGTGGATCTGATTGCGAATTTAGTAATTCTGGTGTGGTGCGATTATAGACAATTTGGGGCCACATCTTCTTTCCACTGAATTCGTTATGTACACCAATATAGGGAACGTTCAGCGCTATTCTGTCGCCAGATTGCGTGGACGCCAAGAATATATTTGTCAGGACCACTGATTACCACTAAAAACGAATTTTTGGTCAAAACAATTGTTTTGACCTTCTTGGGTTTGCTTATTGGGTTGTCCGGTGTCCGTAGCGTCAACGATACGTCATCGCTGTTACGAAGATGTGAGACTCCGCTCACACTGCCGACCAAATGGTCGGCCTACAACCCGAAAAAGTCAAAAAAATTTTTTCGCTCAAAACTTGCTCCTAGGGGTAATCGACAGCGACAGCTATAGCGCCGAAGAGCTGAGTCTGTGCATACTAACGAATTCGAACGAAAAAGCAGTTTTGCTCCATAAAAGTAGGATTGTTCAGTTTATCGTGAATGTTTTTGTTAGGACCAATTATTTAGACAAACATGGATCCAAAAAATGAAAAATTGTAGAAAAGCAAAATTTTGTCCTCGGTGGGATCCGAACCATCGACCTATTTTTTACGTTTTTTTTTATTCGTAGAAGCGCGCAGCGAAAATGAACCTCAGTTTTCTGGTCCTCGTATGTGCCCCTACAATATGCACAAGACCATTTTGAAAAAGCTCACACGCCCTGAACGACCTTCCTTGTCAGATTGAACCAGACAAAGCGATGTGGTCCTGAATGATATAAGTGGTGGCGGCTGAAGGAGAGAGATGCAGCTGTGATTACTCGTATTTGACTGCATAAGGTCACAAAACCTGCTACGAAGTCGTTAGTCGAGACTCCAGGCTCCAAACTTGGCACGACTAAGCCCGCAAGGTGGAGGATTGACTAGGAGGCACGGTTCCGGATGGACAGAGTCAAAGCGAAGGTCCGATAGAAGAAAAGTATCCACCCCGTGTATCTTAAGCACAAGTCAGCGACAACTGGCGAAATTACCAGCGAGCGGAGAAGGCGGAAGCCGGCAAAGGGGATTGTGGTTGCCCACTACGAGCATATCAGCAAGAAACTGGAGTCGCCCGACGGTGAGAGACACCTGCAAATCTGGCCACCGCCGAACCGATGATATACAGAAGTTCTTTGCCAAGTGATCAGACTGGCCATCTTCTGACGGATCGAAAGAGGGTAGTGCAACAATGGCGTGGATACTTTGAGAGCTAGATTACTGATCTATTTGGCTATCCCTGTGCCTACTTAACATGTGCCCCCCGTTCAGGAGAAATCCGTATAGAGAAGAGAAGCGGCTTTTAAGAAGGTAAAGGTAGGCAAAGCAACAGGCCCGATGACTTGCCTGCTGATTTGTGGAAGTCACAATACGGTCTTCTGTGGAGTGGTTGACAAAGCTCTTCAACTAGATCGTCGAAGAAAAGAAGGTACCCAAGGGCTGCAAAGCACCACGATCCTGACTTGGAAAAAGAGGGGCAGCGCGGCAGATTGCTCTGATTACGGCCCAATTCGTATCACACCGTGAAAATCTCTGAACGAGTAGTTGACGCCTGTGTTCGTCATATCGTCGAGCTTTCCACCAAACAGTGTGGCTTCGTGGTTGGCTGTAGCACCATCGGCGCCATACATACTGCTCGCCTTTTGCTGGAGAAACACCGTGAGACCCACTCGTGAGCCCCTGAGCCTTTCTAGTCTTGGAGAAGGCATTCGATCGTGTACCGTGCGGGGTAATGGGGTGGCGTCCTGCGATTGCACGGCCTGCTCGAAGAGCTGATTGAGTGAGTGCACATCCTTCATTCAAGCGCAGGAATCCAAGTGTAATTGCAATTGCCTGCAGCAACTCTTTGGAGTTCCCCATCACCGCTGGAGTACACTAGGGCTCTGCGTTCTCTCCACTCCTGTTCGTCGTCATCATGCTTGCCTGTGAGGATAGGAGCACACAACCGAAAACAAAGGCAACCATTGGCCGATTGCTTCTCGAAATGTGACTCAACCGAAACGTAAAGACCGAGTAGACGACCTATTCAGAACTTAAGCTGTGATCAGGCCCAAACGCACAAGAAGATGCATGCGTCTCGAATTAACAGTTGCATCTGGTGGTGGTCCGAAGTCAGAAGTAAGCAAGTGAGTGCAGCATGGTCTAATGGCAATCTATGTCTAATATCCTTTGGGACAAGACTATGCCATAGCGCTTCAACTCCAAGACCTGTGAAATCGTTGATCGATCGGTCACATTACATGGTGCTGGAAACTGCCCGCTAACAAAGAATTTGAAGCCTACCTCGGTGTGATGGAGATGAAAAGTTGTGTCGGACGGTGGGCGTCACGCGATCTCCAAGTGTTATCACCTAAGAGAACACTGCCTGCAAGTTACTTCCCGTTCCCGAAATACGAGTTGGTTGTACAACTTTGTAACCAACAAGGGAGGTTGTTCAGGTCATGATGAGCTTTTCGGAAATGATCTGTTGCATATTGGGGGGTCCATATAGGGACCATAAAAAGGGGGTTCATTTTCGCTAAACATTATTGAGGTGTCAAAAAAAGTGAAAAAATTTTGACAGAAAAAGGGCAGTTTCAACTATTCAGCTCCGTTGTAACTGTAGCCCTGAGAGTGTATAGTCTTATGAGGTGTTCTTTGAATGAGCATGAAAAACAACGCAAAATAAGGCCAAAATCCAAGTACTTTACTTGGCATGTGGTGAGCTACATAAAGTTTCTTCCGTAACTTCCGCAGCCTCCCTTCCCGCACGCAGTGGCTATTTAGCGCCATGCTGGCCCCAAGTGGCCTCGGGGCCCAAAAATAAGTGTCAGAATCGTGATAGGGGTTGTCAACTACTCCCAGTATACGGAGTTAGTTTCAACACAAAAATTTTTTCAGCTCCTCTGATGATCGACCACTCGATGGCAGCGACACCAAAACTCTTACAGTGAGGTCGGACAAAGACTTCTAGAGGAGAATGACGGCCACTAGTGCACATGTTCAGTCATAATAACATAAAAAGCTCAGAAAAAGAATTTCTGCTGAAACTTCGTATACAGGAGTAAGTGGTGACCTCGATACAATTCTAACGCCTATTTTTTGCGCCGAAGCCATTCGGAGCCAGCACGATGCTAAATAACTTTTACGCCTAGTTTCAATGATTGAAATGCTCTTTCGTGAACCATTAGTGGATAGAATGAGCCCTTGAGTGGCACATATGTGGACTATACACATTATCAGGTATTCCGGGACGCAAGAACGAGGGAATCTGAAAAATGCGAAGATTTATCCCAAGAGGATCCAATCCACAAACCCTTTTGGTTGAGAGTCTGTAGCGCTATCCACCACACCATCCGTCCACTGCGATCGGTGAATGAGAGCTATTGAAGAAATATGTAGGGATGATGAAAAAACTTTGTAGCTCACCACATGCCAAGTGAAGTATTTGGATTTGGATCTTATTCTGCTTGTTTTTCATGCTTATCTGAAGAACACCTCATAAACTATACACTCTTAACGCTACAGCTAGAACGGTGCCGAATGTGGCTTAAGCCTAATGCTTAGCAGAAATGAAACCCATTTTCATGAAGCCCTTATATGGACCTCTGCAACATGCAACAATCGTTCCCAAAATGCTGTGTCTGGTGTTTATTAGGAAGGCTGGAAAATCTGGAATCAGTAATGGAATCTGATTACCTCTTTGAAAAGTTGATGTTAGGCATGTGATGAGTCTCCAGTGGGCATTACCCAGGGAAAGCGCTCTCTCTATGTTGCAACGGAACCGTACTGAAATCCTTGGGTAGAGGAAATGCACAAAATACCTCTACAACGGAACAAATTCCACCCTCTGCACACACACTATTTCTATAGCCCACATTTCAAAAATCATGCTGCTAGAGATGAGGAATTATCGAAGCTGGGGAATTCTACTACACCATCGTAAAGCGCTAATCCAGTGCTTTTGGACTGTTATATGCCTTAGTCCCTGAGCGGCCTTTTTGCGGGTGAAAAACACGATACCAGAAAGACTTGAAAGGACTTGATAACGAGCAACTAAGCCACAATACTGCAAATATTTTGAAAGTTATGCATTTACAGTTATGCTTTGTCCGCCCGCTTTTTGGTAATGCGTCAGTGATAGAGAGTCACATTATAAAGCTGATTGATATTGCTTCCTGGCGAGATTTTTTTTGACTCAATTGAAAAACAGGAAATATCGACCACGTTTTGCAGGATCTGATATGAAGGATAAGAGCATCAAAATGAAAACTCTGATTTGCACACTATTACAGCCTTGGAGTTGCAATACGATCGGTCATGACAACGTTTGCATGGAACCAATTCGCTTTCGTCTACTCCCTTCTTGGCGACCCAGAGAAGTGTGATGTCATGAGGACGGATGTTCAGGTTATCATTTCACTCATTCACCATTATTACACCCACGCTCTTCTACACTTCTGCCTTTGATATGGTGATGGAACCAAACTTTTCCATTCGCCATTCTATTCATGGCGAAACAGAAAACCGTGTTAAGACACACAGCAAGGTTAAACTATTATTCATTCGCAAATTTGCACCGAATTAGCGTGTTGCAGTGGTGTAGAGACAGTTTTCGTCTTTTCGCTGATCATAGAGGTGCCCGAATAGACGTCAGCTATGCCTCCTTCGCGCCCGTAGCGTGCTGCAGTTGTAGCGCCCCTTTTTCGAAGGACACGAACGGCATTACACCACCTGTTAAGGGAATTAGAAACTGCAAGCAGCGAATAGGCGGTCGCCTAAACTTTACGGAACTCAGTCACTAATCTCTCTTCCTATGGTCCTTCAAACAGCCTTTGCACGGCGCACGTGAGCTCTGAAACATTGGCGAATACGGCTGCGCCTCTGAGCTGGCTTTTTCAAAGAGCGGATCACCGTACACTTCATTCATGGGGCCTATAGGTGTGATGACGTTTTAAGATTTACCCGTATTACCTGTGCTCCCGTTGATCATCGAGTTCCTCGAGCGGTGCGTCTCCATTCGTCCCTGCAACGTGCAAGAGTTGCCCAATGAACTCTCTCTGCTCGAGGGACACGATGAACTTCATACCATTCGTTCAGAGCTTTCAGAAGTCTGACCATCGCATAGGCGGTCGTCCAGGCGTTCGCTTGACATCCCGTGGAATCCAGTCGGTGATGCTCTGGTCCAGCGGTCGTCCTCGAAACGCATGACGTGCCGGCCCACCTGATCTTCGAAACCTTGGCAAAAGCGGCGGCGTCTCTGATCTTCGATCGTCCGGAGTGCGGAGCTCCGGATTCCCTCTCTCACTTGCGTGTAGCGGGAAACTCCGAGCATCGCCCTTTCGATGGCGCGTTGAATAACGCCTGCTTCGTAGGGTCCAAGTCTCTGAGGCGTACGTCAAGGCAGGAAGGACCGCGGAATCGAAGAGGTGGGCACGGAGCTTGGTGTTCTTCGTCTTCTTCGCTACTCCCTCGAAGGCTCCTCAAGCCGCTCGCTTACTACTGCCCAACTCTGGTGCCTTCGTCTAGTTTCTGCCAATCCTGTTCAGGATGACTCGTGTGAAGAGTTTGTAGACTAGCAGATTGGGCGATAATTGCCAATGTCGTACAGGTCTCCCTTCTTGTACAGCAACACAGTCTTGCTGGTTTTCCACGAGGTGGGTACCTTGCATTCCGACAGGTAGCGCGTGAAGAGTCGAGCCAGAGTTTTGACAAGAACTGGCGGAAGATTCTTCAGATGTTCGGGTCTGATCCTGTCGGGACCGGGTGCCGTACGATTCTTCACCGACGAGATGGCGTGTCGGACTTCGGAAGGGAGAACTGCAGGAACGACATATCCATCCTGCTCCAAGCGGTATGGTTGCAGGTGGACGTGGCTGTCAAAGAGATCCGAGTAGAAGTCGTGGATGACCTTCTCCATTGCCCTTCTGGATGCGGTGATTGTTCCATCCGGACGTCGGAGGGCGGTCATCTTGGTCTTACAGTTGGCGAAGTCGCGGCGGGCGTTGCGTATGCTCTTCCCAGCCTCTGCGGCTTCCACCAGTACTGCTGCTCTTCTCTCCTTGAGGTCTTCCTTTATCGCTTCTCTGCATAGCTTCGCAAGCTCAGACGTCAGCTGGTAATTGCCTGCGGCTCCACGTTGGCGAATCAGCTCGAGAGTTTCCAGAGATAGACGCTTCTTGGTAATCTTGGAACTCTCTGACTTCTTGGCGCAGTCGTGAAGATGTGCGACAAGCCGTTCGTATTCCTCGTCGATGTTGTCGATGACGGAATCCTCCCAGAGCCCAGCGAGAGAAGTGAAGTGATCCCAGTTGATGACGGTCTTGGGGCTTCGCTTCTTGAACTTTGCGGCTCTCTCTCCTCGCATCGAAAAGCGGAATCTTGCGCGAAGGAGACGGTGGTCGGATCCCGTGTAGAACTTAGGGAACAACAGCGACATCGGTCAGGCAAAACCTTCGATTGAAGATGATGTGGTCGATCTCGTTATGGAATTGTCCACCAGGAGACTCCCATGTCCAGCGTAGAGAGTAGGGCTTCTGGAACTGCGAGTTACCATGGATGGTATGGGTCGACATGATAAACTCAGACAGCCTTTCACCCTGCTCATTCCACTCCGTTCCGTGAGTTCCGATGTGAAGTTCTTCAGCCGTTCTTCTTGGTCCGATCTTAGCGTTGAAATCACCGACGATGACCTTGAAGAAGGTATGATCTTCCTTGTAGAACTTCTCCAATTCCATATAGAACGCTTCGAGCTCATCCTCGTCGTAGCTTGATGTTGGTGCGTAGGCGACGAAGATTGTCAAAGCTGGAGTTGAACCACATCTTCTCAATCGCAACGTTTCGGGTCGTCAGATTTTCGTACGAATCGATGTTCATGGCCAAGTGCGTGTTGACGAGGACGCCCACACCGCCAACGCCTCTGCTGTCGCATGTTCCGAGGAACAGTTCTTCTCCAGTCTCGTACGGCGTGTAGCGGGCGATGCCTCCTCGTCTCGGTCAGTCCGATGACGTCGTACTTGATCTTCCTGGCTTGCAACATCAGATCTTCGATGTGAGCTTCCGATGCAAGCGTCCGTGCGTTGAAAGTACAGATCGTCATCCTAGTCCTGGGCGACTTAAATCTCCGTTGGCCCTGTGATTTTAGCAGCCTCGCCCGAGCGGTCCCAGCCGACGTCGCCCTGTCGGTTCCCTCAGGTTCAGGGGAATGAGGCCCATATTGTTACTGTTTTCGGCGAGAAGAAATTTAACCACGCGTAGCTCGCCAGGCTCTGACGTGGCACCCTCCGCATTGGTATAAAGGTATGGCAGAAAAACAAAGGGGCTAAGGCTCCGGCCTGCTATATGGTTCGAAAGCTGATACCCTTTGCAATGTATCCCTGAGTTTTGGCAGACCCAGTCTCATAGAGAAGTCAAAGAAAATCAAGATCAGCTAATTAATCGTCACAAAGCGATGTGCGCTGCTCAAAGGAATTCTGTACCTGGCCAATAGTTGCATATAGTGGTGTTCTCAACGAGGATTTTGCAAGAACTGGTTCACAAGTTCAGAAAAGGAAGAACGAAAAGAGTTGTTACCGAGCAGGGCCGCGTACTTTCCATCCTACAGAAGAACAGCGGACTGATAAATTCAAGCTTAGAATGTCTGGTAACAGAGGCTGGACCGTTGCCGAGCTTGCTCGCGAGAATGACATCCCTGCTGCCCGAGTTACGTTCAAAAAATTAGGATGGTCAAGAGGGCTGTGTCTAACTGCCTCGTTTGTAGAAGCACGAACGCAGAACTGATTCTGTGTATGTGGCAACGACGTCCAAGCCTAGAAGAAAAATGGGTAGTTTCGAACTGCTAGCCAGAACCAAAACGGTCAATTTTGTAGGAATTTACATGAGAAACCGCCCAGGTTCTCTTACGAGAAGTTGGGGTCTCACGGATGTTATCATAGCAATGGATTTCTGTATTGTGGCTTCGTGGCCCCATAAGGACAACCGTCATTGCCGGTGTGTATTGCCTGTTCCTCGACAATCAGATCGACAAATGGATGATACCACACAACTACAAGAAGGCCACCGTGCTCGTCATAGTGCCAGACCCCGAGTAACCGTATTTTTTGCTGTGCTAGGGCAGAAAACACACTGAGAGCTGGGTTCAATCTCATTCGCCCGACTTACAGCCACGCACCACCTCACCTCGCCTCGCACCACTGTCGCTGGACACTGCCTTTACCTGTTTCGGTCACTCGAAGGCACTGTCCAGCGACAAAAGCTACGATGTTTTGTCATTCACCAAAATTGGCATCAGGAGCAATTTACCCGCTTTCGTTAAAAATGAAGGTGGCACTAGTCCAAAGGCTTTCAGGGCACTAGGAGCGGGCCACTGATGAAAGAGGATCTACCTACATTAAAGGCAAATTATTACTATCAGTATTCTCCAGCTTCTCTCTTCTTGCAACCTCGGCATGTTAGTAAGTGTTTCAATATTCTTGTGCCTTACGAGGTTGTTAGGTGGAACATTTATTAATAATGGCCTAACGTTTCGACTTAATCGTCGTCTTCAGAGGCCTGAATGTGTTTCAAGCATTAGATATGCAACCTACCCCACCAAGCACCTCGTCAACTCTAGCGGTTCCGACGTCGTGTCAGGAACCCCTCGAGAAGACGCCAATATCGCAAGACAGAGACTCACCAGTGGTTCCACCGTTTGAGCGGATAGGTCCGCGGCCACACTAGAGCGCTGTCAATAGAAAAATGAAGAATACGACGTCTCCGTATAATGACATATCAGGAGACGGACGTCACGCTCTGTCAGTGTGGCCGCGGACCTATCCGCTCAAACGGTGGAACCACTGGTGAGTCTCTGTCTTGCGATATTGGCGTCTTCTCGAGGGGTTCCTGACACGACGTCGGAACCGCTAGAGTTGACGAGGTGCTTGGTGGGGTAGGTTGCATATCTAATGCTTGAAACACATTCAGGCCTCTGAAGACGACGATTAAGTCGAAACGTTAGGCCTGAATGTGTTTCAAGCATTAGATATGCAACCTACCCCACCAAGCACCTCGTCAACTCTAGCGGTTCCGACGTCGTGTCAGGAACCCCTCGAGAAGACGCCAATATCGCAAGACAGAGACTCACCAGTGGTTCCACCGTTTGC